TTACTCCACGGCTCCTTCAACTTTTGCCTGATGGCGTTTGGGAACACTTTGCTGGGCTTAGTCGGAGCGATGCTTGTCGACGTGCTTGGGCTCGTGCTCGCCAGACGCGGCGTCGCGGCCCTCGGCAACGTGGTGCCCGTCGACGTGCACGCGCTTGTGGAAGCAGGCCTCGTGCGCAAGCCTGTTCTGCGATGCTGTGCCGCCTTCTGCTACCTCCGGCGCCAGGCTGGGGGTGAGCCCCCCGCGGTGGGCGGTCGATCGCCCAGCCACGCAGCTGCTGCAGCCGGGGGCTATCTTCGCTGCGCCTGCCCCCAGTGTGGCTCCGAGCTGGCGGTCTACGCGCCGTCCCTGGCGGGCGACTTCGGCGTCCAGTGCCGGCTCTGCGGGCAGCAGTTCATGGCGGTCGCTGGGCAGGGCGCTCGATAGGCATTCGAGGACTTTTGGGGGAGCAGCAGTCGAGGGAGGCAGAGCCACTCCGACCCCCATCCTCGGCGCTTACTAAACTCGAAGAAGAAGAAACGCGATAACCATACTAAACTGTTGGCGCTCCGCGCGGATTTCTTGGATCCGCGCGGGGCCTCCCCGGGCGGCGCCTCCGGCGCCGCCCCTGGCGCGCGCCGCGCGCCAGGGAGGGTGGCCCCGCGCGGATCCAAGAAATCCGCGCGGAGCGCCAAAAGTGTATGTTTGTGGCCTTTTTTTCTCCTTCTGCTTCCGCAAACGTAGACAGCCCCGGCCCATTGGATCCTTTCTTTATGTTGCAGGTGCGTTCTCTAGAGGGCCTCGATGGTCGGGGTGCTATTCGTGGGGGTGCTCCTTCTGCCCCCCCGAGGCAGGCCCGCCGAGCCGAGGCCGTCGGGGAGGACTCGTGGCCGGCGGCTCTCCCGACAGCCGCCGCCCTCGCGGCGGCAGCCCGCGCCGGTGGTCCGGGCCTGCGCGAGGGAGCCGCCGTGCCCCTCCTCCCTTCTCCCTCCTCCTCCCTCCTCCCTCCTCCCTCCTCCTCCTCCTCCTCCTCCTCCTCCTCCTCCTCCTCCTCCTCCTCCTCCTCCTCCTCCTCCTCCTCCTCCCTCCTCCTCCTCCTCCTCCTCCTCCTCCTCCTCCTCCTCCTCCTCCTCCTCCTCCTCCTCCTCCTCCTCCTCCTCCTCCTCCATTCCTTCTCCTTATAGATAACTTCTCCCTGTCGCACCCCATTCGTGTCGTAAATTTGCGAAAGATTCACGGATTGAGGGCGGGTCGTTTTCAAAATGTGGCTTTCGCCTTAGCGCCGCGCACATTCGTTTTAAACACATTGTAAGAGTTTTACGGATTGAGGGCGGGTCGTTTTCAACATGCGTCTCTCGCCCTAGCGCCGCGCACATTCGTTTGTACAAATTACAAGAGCTTCACGGATTGAGGGCGGGTCGTTTTCAACATGTGGCTCTCGCATGAGCGCCGCGCACATTCGTGTTCAAAAATTACAAGAACTTCACGGATTCAGGGTGGATGATTTTCAAAATGTGGCTCTCGCCTTAGCGCCGCACGCATTCGTTCAACAAACAATTGCAAGAGATTCACGGATTGAAGGCAGGTCGTTTTCAAAATGTGGCTCTCGCCATAGCGCCGCGCACATTGGCTTCAAACGTTTGCAACAGTTTCACGGATTCCCATGATCAACCTACCAGAAATGGTGTTTTGGATGGATTCGGGATTATGCGGGCGCAACACTTATGTTGATTCGCTGTGTTGAAGTCCCAAATTGCGTTCTGGCAAGATTCTGGATCGTTAAGACGCAGCAGTCAGGTTGATACGTGGCGTTGAAATCCCGAGAGCAATGTTTTGGCACGCTTCAGGATCTTGAAACTGTTGTCTTCCAACGAGGCAGTCCCCTCAATGGAAATGAACCGTTGTAGGGGCCTGCGAAGAGGGAGCTTGGAGGGAGGGTTAATTCCAACATCGCTGATGACTCTTAGGTTTCCACTGGTCCTCCTGCCTCCTCCTCTTCCTCCTCCTCCTCCTCCTCCTCTTCCTCCTCCTCCCATCTCCTCCTCCCTCCTCGTCCTCCTCCTTCTCCTCCTCCTTCCTCCTCCTCCTCCTCTTCCTCCTCCTCCTCCTCCTCCTCCTCCCTCCCTCCCTCCCTCCCTCGCTCCTCCCTCCCTCCCTCCTCCCCTCCCTCCCTCCCTCCTCCTCTCCTCTCCTCCTCCTCCTCCTCCTCCCTCCCCTCCCTCCCTTCCCTCCCTCCGTCCCTCCCTCCCTGCCTCCCTCGCTCGCGCCCTCCCTCCCTCCCTCCCTCCCTCCTCCCTCCCTCCCTCCCTCCCTTCCTCCTCCCTCCCTCCCTCCCCTCCCTCCCCTCCCTCCCTCCTCCCCCTCCCTCCCTCCCTCCCTCCCTCCCTCCTCCCTCCCTCCTCCCTCCTCCTCCTCCTCCTCCTCCTCCTCCTCCTCCTCCTCCTCCTCCTCCTCCTCCTCCTCCTCCTCCTCCTCCTCCTCCTCCTCCTCCTCCCTCTCCTTCTCTTCCTCCTCCTTCCTCCTCCTTCCTCCTCCGCCTCCTCCTCCTCCTCCTCCTCCTCCTCCTCCCTCTCCTCCTCTTACTCCTCCTCCTCCTCCTCCTCCTCCTCCTCCTCCTCCTCCTCCTCTTCCTCCTCCTCCTCCTCCTCCTCCTCCTCCTCCTCCTCCCTCCCCCTCCACCACCATCTCCATCTCCTCCCCCCCGCTCCTCCTGGCGGCGCCAACAATCGGGGGCGAAAAAGGGGCGTACGCGTACATGAGTCCACGTCGGTTTCGAGAGTATCCTAGGCTTCCCAGATGGGGCCGGAGTAGGTGGGCTCGGCGGATCGCGCCTCATAGCCGATGCATCGACGATGCGGCTCGATGCGGGGCCCGATTCTCTCCACGACGACGTCGCCGACACGTTGCCGACGTCGGCGATGCATCGCCGATGCACTGGCGACGCGGCGCGATCCTCCGACCCCATCTGCTCGGGATCCCCTTTAGGAGGCCTCTGAGCGCGCAGTGCGCGAACGTTCGTATCCCGCGGCCGGTCTCGCGGACTGGGGGGGGGCCGTGGTCATGTGCGCGGCGGGGGGCGCGCACATCCCTCGAGGGCTTCCCAAGCAAGGGGGTGGCGTGAGGAGGGCGGCCCTCTGAGGAGGCGGGCGGAGCTCCCAGGGAGGCAGGGGGGCCTCTTAGAGGCCCCCCTCTGGCTTCTGAGGAGCCTTCTTCTGGAAGCGGCAGGCATCTCTAGAAGGCCCCTGCCTTCTGGGAAGGCTTCCTAGAAGGCCTCTGCCTTGGGGTTCCTAGACGGCCCCTGCCTTATAGGAAGGCTTCTAGGAAGGCTTCCTAGAAGGCTTCTCGCGGTGGGGGGGCTTCCTAGAAGGCCTCTGCCTTCTAGGAAGCCCCCCCACCGCCTTGGCAGCCCCCCCCCCCCCGCGCCCCCCCCCACCTCCCCCTTGTGCGCCGCCAGCCAGATCGATCCACAGTCGGCGCGCCTGGTGAGGAGTCGCGCCTGCATCTAGAGGGTGCCCTTGTGTCCTTGCCTTAAGCCGGGCCTGTCCCTCTACAGGAGGCAGATTCAAAAACAGTTAAAACATCGTCAGGGGACAATGTTTTGGACTATTTTTGATCATTTGTGGAGTACTTTTGGGGTATCTTAATTGTTCGTTCAAAATCCCCTTGTAGGGGGACAGGCCCGACCTAATCCTTGCCTCTGCGCCCCGACCCAATCCTTGCCTCTGCGGCCCGTCCTCTGCCCTTCTCGCCGGCCGCCCGCCGCCCAAAAACGCCCAACCTGCGGCCTCCGAGGGCCCCGCGCCCTCAACGTGCCACCCGTCCTCACGGCACGCTCTGCCTGCAGCGCGGGTCCGCCCGCGCGGGCGCGCAGGCAGCCGGCGCCTCGCGCGTCGCGGCGAGGACCGGAGCGGATGCCCTGCCCCAAAGGGGGCGGCGCGAGGGCGCGAAGAGAGCCGGTTGGGCCAGTTTCGGAGGCCTAGAGGTTGACACCAACACCAATATCGGCGGCGTGCTTCCACCGAGGGAAGATGATCCCGATCCAGGTGATGGTGGTAATATTCGGGCTTTCTAGGTGGCCTAAAGATTACCACCAGCACCAAAATCCAGGATCATCTTCCTCCCGTGGAGGCAACCCCTGATGTTGGTGTTGGTGCCAATTTCCAAGCTTCCAGCAGTTGGGAGGCTCGCACAGCTCGAGAAGTAGATCGACGACAGACTTGATGCACCCCAGAAGTGATTCTCTCGGCGGATCCACGAGCAGAAGCGCGGAGTGTTCCGCAGGTCTACGGCAACTTCTACGTAGATGTCGTAGACTCGACGTACAACAAAAATTGGGGGTAAATCAAGTCTGTAGTCGATTTACTACTGGAACGCCTCAGCCTCTTCTCGTCGCCCTCCTTCCCTTCCGCCCCTCCCTTCCCCTCTCCGTACGGGCGTGCTTCGACACGATTTTGTTCTGGTTCGTATCACCGCATCCTCGGATGGCTTCCTGGCGGGGAAAAAGTATTTCAACCAGCCCCTCCAGAATTACGAGTTTAAAGGACATGTTCCAAAGTAGCTGTTGAACAACGTTTCATGATGCGTCTAGAGTGGTCTGGCTGGTCGGGCCTGACACAGCAGCAGCTTAAACAATCTCCGCCGTCATTCACCATGTTCTGGGCCCTCCTCGGCCCAAGTGCAGGGCCGGCACGTCGGTTGGCCGCGCGCGTCCCGTGCGGTCTGGGATTGGCCTCCCGTGCCCCTTCACTCCGTGCTGTGTCCCCCTGTTTTTTATGGAAGGCCGCATCCGCAGCAGCTGCTCCGTGGCTCCTAAGTGCAAAGCAGCGGGGATGCCTCCGAGGGCCTGCGGCCTGCCCTCCGGAACGGGACTGCACGCCCGTGGCATTCGGCTCCAGCTGGCGCAGTGGCGCAGCTGTGGGACAGCGAAGGCTTACGCCTGATTTTCTCTCGGGCCCCCCGCTCCTCATCATTGCGGGGGGCGCCTGTTCCTCACTCAGAGGACTTCGATGCGGGCGTGGAGCTCAACAAAAAAAGACCTCGCCGGTCCGTAACACTTCGGAAGACGATTTGGCCCAGCACCTGACTCGGGCCGGAATAGATCGAGCCCTGTTTGAGCGTGCCCCCCTGCGGCGGTTCCCGCTGCCTGGGCGCGCTCTCTCCCCCTCCTGCCCCGCGGCCGCCTCTTCCTTGCCCTCCTCTGGCACCAAGGCCATTACGCTGCATCTTCGAGGGAGCTCGCCTGTCCCCCAAATTGGTTTCTTTTCTTGTGCCCGACGCGGGCTCGAGGCGGCCTCGACGCGGATTTGGCGTGGTTTCGACGCGGATTCGGCACGGATTCGATGCGGATCCGACGAGGCCGACATGGATTCGACACGGATTCGACACGGATAGGGCCGCGACAGGGCAGACAAGGCCCCCCCGAGGATGTGACAGAAGGGCCACTTCGCATCGCCGTCTCCCGGCCTGCCGGGCGCGCGTGCGCACGGACTCCTTGCCGCGCTGCGGCGCGAGAGCTGCTTGCGCACGCCCGTCAGCGCCGGCAAGCAGCTCACCACCCACCAAACCACCCCAACCCAACCCGAAGGCCTCAATTTGCCCTCCATTTCCAGTGGGGGGGGGGTCGGGGAACATTGAAAAAACACGGATGGAACCCTTACCCCCCCCAACCCGAAATTCGGGTCTTCGGGTTGGGTTGGGGTGGGCTGGTAGGTAGTCAGCAGCGCGCCGAGGCGACCCTGGCGCTCCTCCAGAGCTTCCGGGCAGGCCGTCGCCCGGGCCGCCGGTGCGTGGGTCCTCTCGCACACGCCCGCGACCGCCCCCGCCCCCAGCAGGGCGCCCCCTCGCCACGCTGCTTGACGCACGCGTGGCCTCGGTGATGCGCCGCAGCCACGCGCCACCAACAGACATACGCAGACACCCTCCGCTGGAGTGTTCCTGGGCCTCAGGGGAGGTTGGCGGTGTACAAATCACCGCTCAGAGCCAGCGGCTTTATGGTCAGAGGGTGTCCGTGTGCATATTTTCGTGGCGTGAGCCAGGCGATGCTGGGCCACTGGTGCCAGCGCCACCTCTGACAGGAGAGGTCGCATCACGCCCAGAGCCCTCGAGAGCGTCTGCACGCAGATGCGATAAATATCTGCGACACCTGCCTGTCGGCCGGCACCCGCAGCACCAAGTGGATGCCGTTCGCCGACCGTGACGCTCGCCTGCACCGGGAGCTTTTCGGATGCCATACGAGAGAATAGAAAGTCAACGCCGAGTCAGAGAGGCCCGTTGGCGCAGTGCCGCTCTGAAGTTAATGCCAACAATCGCAGGAATTTGGCAAGAGACCTGCGCCAGAACGGCTTGGGAGGAGGAGGAGGAGGAAGAGGAGGAGGCGGATGATGATGAGGAGGAGGAGGAACAACAGGAGGAGGAATAACAGGAGGAGGAGGAGGAGGAGGAGGAGGAGGAGGAGGAGGAGGAGGCGAGGGGAGGGGAGGAGGAGGAGGAGAGGAGGAGGAGGAGAGGAGGACAGGCGACGGACGCATGTCTGCCGCAAAAAATCCGTGCCTGGGAAGCGCTGGCTCAAGCAGAGGTCCGTGCCCCGGGTGCCAGCTCGCGGGCACCGACGCGTGGGCGCCCGAGCCGCTCCACCTCGGCGCCCTCCTCCCGCGCAGTTCTTCCGAAAGGCCCACAGCAGCATGCGGAGTCCTCCTCCTCCTCCTCCTCCTCCTCCTCCTCCTCCTCCTCCTCCTCCTCCCATGAGCCGCTCCACCTCGGCGCCCTCCTCCCGCGCAGTTCTTCCGGAAGGCCCACTGCAGCATGCGGAGTTCGACATAGCTTGTGAGTGGCTTCGGCGTCACTTAGGCGTGCAGGTTCCCCACTATAGCGCGCCGCGGATGCGTTCTTTCAGGAATTCAGGGGCAGCGATACGGGGGGATAACTTAGGCATAGGCGGGGAGGAGGAGGAGGAGGAGGGCGAGGAGGAGGAGGAGGAGGAGGAGGAGGAGGAGGAGGAGGAGGAGGAGGAGGAGAGTTCAGGGGCAGCGATAGGGGGGATAACTGAGGCACAGGCGGGGATGCATCGATCCTCGATCGCCCATGGATCGCCGATAGGGGCCCGATGGCCCCACCCCGCCCAGGAACGTAGGGCCTATCGCCATCCAGGGCCCATCGCCAACATATCGGCGATGCATCGTCGATTCCAGGTCGAGGCTCCCCCTTATGTCATTCAGGAGGAAAAGAAACACACAGGCACAATGAATCCTCGATTCCCCAGAAAATGTAGGAAAATATGGGAAGTGGGGGGAAGACAGAAACCCAGAACATATGGGAAAATATTGGGAACAGTTTTATTTGTGTGTATTTATTTGTGTGTGTCCTGGGGCCCCTTCAGTTATTCCCACCCTATCGTTGCCCCTCAAGAACGCGCCACTGGGCCACGCTCCAACTCAAGCGCACCAGCTCCCTCCGTGGGCTTTCCTGAATCTCTTGAGGCTCACGCGGACGAACAGGGGAACCGCCCTCCGCCTTCTCCGCCAGACTCTGTTGCTGACGGTAGCGCGCTTGCGTTGGCAGCGCCAGGTAAGGTCCAGAGTGGTCCGCATCACGCCTGAGGCGATCGTCGGGCATTGCTCAATGGGCAGGTCGCAGAAGGGTGGTCGGCGGCAGGGCTTCGAATGGAGAGCTCCTCGATTTCTGGCAGAAGGCGAGGATATCTTGGGGCCGCTCGCATCGGACTACGGCGAGCTTTAACTACTCCAGCAGCCCGGAGGCCACATACTTGATTCCGGACGTGGAGCTCGTCAGTGGCCAGCTCGCGCCCACATCAAGGACACTGCCCTCTACGATGTCGCAGCCATGCCTTTTTGAAGTTTTTGCGCGGCCTCCTCCTGGACGCAGGGTACACAGAGGACTTGCCGCATCGTGCCACGTTCCACACCCGTGACGCGAGGTCCCTGGGCTCGATGATCGCGAGGCCCAGTGCATCTCTCATTGGGTGGAGATCGCCAAGGGCGTGCGCGGCCAGCGGGCGCAGGCAACGCACCCCGCCTCCCGCACCTGCGCCGCGGACAGGCACGAGACTGCCCGCATCGCCGAGCACAGGGCCGCCCTCTCGCTGCGCCCGGCATCTGCGGCCGTGCCGCGGCCGCCGCCCGCCCGTACCTCGCGGCGTGCGGGCTCCTTCGAGTGGGACCACGCTCGCGCTGGCCTCCCCGACCTCGATGCAGCTGGCGCCCTGGCCGTCCATGAGCATCGGTTAGCCGATCCCCATCCCCACCACTATGGGCTGGGCCCCACTGGCCGATTTGCCCCCCTGGATGGGGCTATAGCCTGCTCTCTTCGGGTTTCGAGGGGCACGCCCCCAACTGGGGTGGTGAGACGGTGGGGCTCGAGATGTGGATGGGGATGGGGTTAGGGACCGGTGAAGCGATACTGAGTCCAGGGCAGCCCATGTGCAGCGAGGCCACCGGGCCGAACAGGCATGCCCCCCCGGGGTCCGTGAGCACCGCGGGCGCCTTCCCGGCCGCAGAGAGCGCCAGGTGCCCCCAGCCCCCGAGGGGCTGATGCAGGAGGGGCCGCAGGACCTGCACCGTTGCCAGACTTGACGAGCCAACAACACACACACACACACCCATACCCATAGAGGGGTCGGAGAGGGCTACGGGTGCGTATTGTCGGATGGGGGTCCCCGCTCGAACGGGAGCGTTCCCCAGGGTCCGACAACCCGCACCCATACCCATAGCCAGTCCTCCTCCCAACGACCCCCCTATGGGTATGGGTGTGTGTTGCTCGTTCGTCAAGACTTGTTCCAGCTGGTCCTCGGCGGGCGCGCCCCCACTTCACAGATGTAGTCATCTGCAGCGTGGTGCGCCAGTTTCGTGCTGCCAGGACGCCCCATTCCGCGCGGAGCCGTTGCTGCCCCCGGGGAGCTGCGCCCAGGAGGTAGGCCTCGCGTCCGGCGGTTTCTGCCGCCCTTTCTGCCGGGAGCTGCCGCCGGCGCTGTTCGCCGCAGTCAGCCGCAGAGTTGTTGCTCTCCTGGTCGGCGCGGACGCGCTCCTGAGGTGATCGTGCAGCGCATTTGGCACGTTTCCGGATTCCCCGCGGGTTCTCTGGACTCGTAGGGTTTCTCGCGATTTCCCTTTTGGTTTTTTTTGCGATTCACCTGCCAGCTAAGGGATGGACGTTTCTGGATTCCCCCTGGTCTCTGGACTCGTCAGGCGTCTCGCAATTCTCTCTGGGATGGATTCCCCACGGGGTCTCTGGACTCGTCGGGTGTCTCACGATTTCCCTCCAGGGTCTCATGATGCACTCGCCGCCTCGGGGGTGGGCGCTTCCAGCTTCCCAACGGGGTCTCTGGACTGGTCCGGTGTCTCGCGCTTCTTTTTCAGGGTTTCACGATCCACGCACCGGCTGGGCCGTAGGCGCTTCTGGATTCCCCGCTGGGTCTTTGGTTTCGCCAGGTTCCTCGCGATGCCCCTCCGCGCCCAAGCCTGCACCGCCGGCTTTCTAGCCTCGCCGGCCCTCTGAGCGCCGCGTGGCCCAGCGCGCTCGCGGCGACTGGGCGAACCTCGCGGTCGGGGGCGGGCGGAAGAAGGACCGCTTGATGTCGCATCTCGTCATCACCATTTTTTTTTTGTTTCTCTCTCTCTCTCTCTCTCCTTCTTCCTGTCCTTTCGTCTCCGCCTTCTCGTCTCCTCCCCCTCCTGCTCCTTCTCCTCCTCCTCTTCCTCTTCCTCCTCTTTGTATCCCGTGCGACCAGCACCATAGCACGGCGCGGCAGAGGCAGAACATGCTATGGGTGGCATGTTATGGGTAAGTTCTGGTACGCACGCCATGTTGGCAGCAGTATAAGGCGAACTGTATTCCAGGCCCGTGTGCAAGGTGCGGCTGTCAGCGAGCTGGAGGCGTTCATCCCCCAGCAGAGTGACTATAAAGTTATCGATGGTCTGCCTCTCGGAGGACAGGCTGTGCGAAAGACTCCCGCATCAAAGGGGGGACAACACGCTGCCCACCCTCCTCGAAAGGTTTGGGGCATGTTGGGCGTGGTCCCCACCAAAATCGAACTCCGTGTAAGCCGCCTCGGGTGGCTCCAACAGATCGCATTGCACAGGCAAGAAAAATGCCAAACTTTTAGCTGCTCTTGCTGGCCGGATACCTGGTGAACCGACAGGAACCTTTCGGGATTGGCAGCTCTTACGGGATGATGCGGGGAAGTTTCATGGAAATCCTTGGGCTTTGCAGGCTCGCGAAGATCTTGGCGCGATCCGACTGGTTCCAGGTGGCGCTGCACTTCTTGAAGCTATGGGCGGCATGCGGTTACGTGTGTTTTGTGACGGTGTAATAAGGAGCTCAGCAAACTACGCTTTGAACATGTACGTGAACACTACTGGCAGGGTCAGTATGGGGAGGATAAACGGGCATGAGGACGCACCCGAAATTGTTTCCTTCTTTTTTTTTGAAGGCCAAAAGCCAGGCTCCCGGTTGACGCAGGCAGTTCAACTGGCTGCGCTCATTGCACTGCGCCCGCTTGCCACCTTCTGGCGATTTGGGTCTTGCACACAGTGATGTTTCACGCAGACGAAAACGGAGGTGTCGTTCGTGATGGCGTCGGCTTGCCCCGTGTGGTTGGTCGTGGCAGGTCCTGATGAGGATAGCCGGCCACACGCCGAACCGCTAGAGACGAGCTGGGCCAGGGGTGCCCGAGAAAGTGAGCATACTGGGTCCTGGACCACAGGGTGCGCGACAAGAGCTGCAACGCGGGTGCACATTATGTCTTGTATCTTGCTTTGATGTGGATCTGTTTGGCAAACTACTTGCTATCAGCCGAAAGTCTCGCCAGAGCTCGAATCCGGCGCGGGCGCTCATCCTCCACGCGACGCTGTTGTTTTGAGGCCAACCTTCTCTGGTGTTCGGCCCAGCAGTCA